GTTTTCCTCAACCTAGACAATTTTGACGGGGGTGGCATACACCCCCAAAATCCCCCCGCCAGACGGGGTGGGTGGGGGAATTCTGGGAGTTGAAGTCCACCCGTCTTAAAGTTGCCACGGTTGAGAAACACCGGTCTAGAAGATGCCCCAAAATATTACTTTCCTTGCATGAAAGCATCAAGACACTGTTTTCTTCTAACGTTTACCACTTTTTCGTAAAGCCAGCAGGGTTGCTGTGCCTTAAGCAACCGAAAATCCACGTGATCTTTCACAGCATGTAAAAAAGAGTAAAATCTACTACATTTCCACGTGCCAAGCTGCTCTTTTGAAAGCTGGCTTGGCTTGGTCCACACAACTCTCTAACCCTGAGGGGTTGGGTAGCGTGTGGCACAATGCCAGCTGGCTTCTTCAGAGACGGTGTGAAGCAGGCCATCAGGTGAAGCCACAGCAGTGTTTATTTTTCAAGCACCACATGATACATGTACATACGTATAGTTTGTCCATTTAGGACTAGCATGTTGTTTGAACCCAGTCAGTGTTCCAAACTAGGTAGCAGTGCTAAGGTAAGTCCTAATTGTGTAGAAAAGCAGTGTGATGTAGAGGATACAGTGCTGGATTTGGAACAAAAGAATACGGGAGACAATGGTATAAATGCAAACTTGGCCAAGATGTTTCAGCTTCTCAGGCTTCTCTACAGGATTTTCTGGTGGTCTTCCATCCCAGTACTAACAACGTCCAGTACAGAAGTGAGTTGCCACTGCCTTCCTTTTTGACTTCCCAGCCTAGGCTATAGCCCTAGGATTTCCTAGTGGCCTCCTACCCAAGTGACCTAACTAGGGTTGATGGTATGCGGCTTTTCAAAACCAGCCAAGGCCAGCTATGAAAACTGTAGTAAGTGCAACCAGTTTTAGTGGAATTTACTCCTGGTAAGCAGTATAAGATTGCAGCCTGACCATAATAATAATTCATTAAATTTATATATTGCCTGATTCCCAGCAACTCTGGGCGGTTTAGCCCCACACTGTCACACCTTCCAACAGGTGCGAAAAGAAGTTGGGATCACAGGACTCGTGGCATGGGGGATGAAGACTTACAAGCAGATATGAACATAGTTGACCGCTGGATGTTGGCTAAATACCTATCTGTGGTTATGCTACTGAAATGGAATAATACTTTTCTTGTAGCCCTAGGTGACCAGATAGACAGACGGACGTTTTGGAAGAATATCTATAAGGTGCTCTCCAAATTCAAATGTCTCCATTGGCTCAGAAAGCTTCTCCTGAAGAATTATATGGACCCCAGAGTATGTTAGGAAATAAAGATGAAGCAGAGAACTGGCATCGCAGCTTCCTGTTTAAAGGATCCAAACTTTTTAAAAAATGCTGCTAGAAAGACTGGGTGGAATGTGGGTTTGTTGCAAGGAATGAAAGCTTGTTGGAAGAGGCCAAAATGACTGCGTATAAGAGCATTTCTGCCCATCTTCTATAGAAGTGAGATGTGGACGTATGTCAGAGAACCTTAAAACTAAGTTGGATACTGAAGGGGGAAAGGGCTCCCGAAGGTACGTGAGTGGTAAAAGAAAAAGAGATGGGGCAAAGAATGAATGGGTGCTGAAGGAATGGAATACAGAAGCGAGTGACCTGCATGATAGACGGATGTTGAGGTCCTATAGAGGGAATGAATGAGGACTGTACTGGAGAAGAAAGGAGAGTGAAGGGGTCAAGAGGAAGGCGAAGGCAGAGAAAGTCATGGTTGGATGAGATCTTGAAAAAGAGTGGAGACGTTTAATGAACAAAAGGCAACCTAGGAAGTGGAGGGTGGATGTGTTGGAAGCAGGGGACGTTTGAAAGGACCGAAAGACAGGAAGCCATGAAAGCTAGTGAAGAGCACTGGTGTCAACTAGATCTCCTTTCTTCCCTCCCGCCTTTGATTTCTTCACCTATTGCTACCTACTCTTTGTCTTTACTCTGCATAACAGCGTACATCCACAGAGGGAAGTTCCCCCTATCCAAAATTCAGGAAGGTCTAGGTGTCGGAGGGGGAGGAGGTACCAAGGAAAGGATCTCTATGAGCACTGCCTTGGAGATCCTGAGCTACCTCTTCTCTGGGGCAATCCCGATACAAAGCAGAGGGATAAAGAAGTTCCTGTGCACTTCCTTTGCCTATCCATCCCACCAACAACTTACGACTTACAGTCCAACGTAACAGCCTCCATTCCCATGCTAGTCATGAAGAAGGGAGCACTGTAGCCAGCACAAAAGTATGGTCTTTATCCTTTTATCAGGCTGTCTGGTTGGGGTAGAGTTTCTTCCTTGATGGATCCTTAATTATGGAACCGTTCCTTCCCAGATTGTTTCTTTGCTGCTGTTTCCTGCTTATAGGCGCGTTGGTTGCTGAGGCAGATAAACAACAGTGCCTTAATCAAGGAACCATCGGGGCGGAAGCCCCACACCCACCAAGACTCTCAGGGCAAGCTACTACATAGAAACAGCCGGCGAACTGCACCCCCCCCCCACTGACAACGTTACCTAGTTGGGTAAAGAAATGTCTGCAGGAGAACCACCAAGGTCAAAACACACCAGGATCCCAAGGGTTCAACCTGAGCTACAGATATTCTCTTCTATTGGAATTTGGAGAATGGCCATTCATTGTTAAAATCTTTTCCCCATCACAGAGGGAAGGATTTTTTCTGGGGGACGGTGGGGGGGAACGTAGGAACGATTCTCTTCCTGCTTCACAAAACATTACTGAAGTTTCTTCCTGGGTGAATTCTGTGATGCCGCAGCAGTGTCTCTTTCTGACCAAAATGTTCCCCACACATTAAACACGCATAAGGCTTCTCTCCCGTGTGGGTTCTTCGGTGCCTCAGCAAAGTCTCTCTTTGATTGAAACTCTTCTTGCATGTGGGACACGAATACGGTTTCTCCCCAGTGTGGACCCTTTCGTGTCGAATCAGCTTGGCTTTCTCGCTGAAGCTTTTTCCACACTGGGAACACGTGTACGGCCTTTCCCCGGTGTGGGTCTTCTGGTGCACAATCAGGTTCCCTTTTCTTCGGAATTTCTTCTGGCATAAAGAACATTCGTAAGCCTTGTCTCCACTTTGCATCCTTTGATGCTGGTTGGGCTGAATCCACTCACGAAAACATCTTCCGCACTCGGCACGCGCGCACGGCCTCTCACCTGTGTCGATTGCTTGATGTGCGAGGTGGCTTCCTTGTCTCTGGAAATTCTTCTCACAGCCAGGACCGCTGAAAGATGTCTCCCCCTTCGCATGGATGCTCTGGTGCTCCATGGGTTTGATGTCAATGTGGATCATCTGATGTTTTACCATCTGGGCCTGGTAATAGAACTGCTTCCCGCATTCAGGACATGAATGCTTTCTCTCACTTCTGTGGGTTAGATGCTGGTTAAAGGTCTGTCCCTCTTCCCAAAGCCACCTCCTTGGTGGCTTTCTCCCCTGTGTATTTTCTAAATCAGCGTCTCCTTTCTGGAGAAGGGACTTCACAGATACTTCCCCACAGGACCTTTCTAGGAGTGTTTTGTGGGCTCCCACCAGTTCAGGGCTGGCTGGCTGAAGCATTTCTTCCTTGATCTCAGTTGCACTGACGTGATCTGAGGGAATAGGGAAGCAATCCAGATCAAGTAGAAAAGGAAGGGAGAGAAAATATATGAAAATTACAGAAAAGGTAGAGAGTAAGGAAAATGACCTTGATGGGGATAGCGAGATCCGTTACCAGAGCAGTGAGGGGGAAATATATCTTAAGTCCAAAACAAGCAGAAAATATGCGGAAGAAGCTCAGACAGACACCTCCCTAATTCACACGAGTATAAGAAGGGGAGGAGGTACAGCACAGTTAGACTTAAAAGGTTCTGTTATTATAGCTACTCTCAGTAAAACTACAGGTAGTCCTCGCTTAACAACCATTCATTTAGTGACTGAAGTTATGACAGCACTTAAAAGTGACTTACGACCAGTGCCCAAAGTTATGACCATTGCAGTGCCCCCACGGTCCTACGATCGCGATCTGAGTGCTTGACAACCAGCTCGCACTTATGATGGTTGCAGTGACCCGGGGTCACACGATCCCCATTTGCAACCTTTCCAGCCAGCTTCCAGCAAGTAAAATCACTGGGGAACCATGTGATTCACTTAATGACCGCACAACAACCCCTCCTCCTCCTCCCACATGAACATGGGTTCAGGGTCTGATTGGGACACGGCAGGATTATCATTTCCAGCATTTCCCCCTTTTATTCAAGTTGACAAAGTCAGAGATAAGACTATGGATATAAACTAAGCCTTATTAGAATAGACAAGTGCTTTCACTTTTTAATTCCTGTAGCACTGCTAACCACTTGGCTCATTTTAAGGTTACTGGCCACCCTCATTCTGGACAGAAACCAACAGTCCAAAATTCCACCATCTTCAACAACTCCTATAACTGTCTAGTCCAGTGTTTCTCAACCTTGGGAACTTTAAGATGTGTAGACTTCAACCCCCAGAATTCTCCAGCCACCTTGCTGGCTGGGGAATTCTGGGAGTTGAAGTCCACACCTCTTAAAGTTGCTGAGGTTGAGAAACACTGGTCTAGTCCATTGCAGCAATTGTAGAATCTGTCTGCCAGTCAGGTCCTCCACTGCTCCACAGAAACATCTCTGATCTTAACATACCATCACAATTTGAGCTTTCAATGAATACAGAACATCTATCCAAATTCAGACCTTCTGACCAAGTCTTACAATGCCATTTGGCAGGAGTTTCTATTCTTCATCTGGAATCTCTCACAGCCTATTTGGGGATATCAAGAATTCAGTCTGCAACGGTCTATGTGTAAAATAGGGGTTTGTAACATTCAGCTCCTAGTCTGTGTACATATTTGGCCGTAAACAGTTTCAGTCCATGCCTCTATTCTAGGCGAGGTAAAACAGATTTCAGGTGTTGGGGATGAATTTATTTTTTTTACTAAAACTCTGAGAAGAATAATTTGGGCCTGGTACCAAATAAAATATGGAATCTGTTACCTCTTGCAATATGGCTATAAATACAGATCAACCATTGAGGGATCTGCTATCAGAGATGCACAAAAATTCCCTCAGTGGCAACCAATTAGTTATCCCATTTTACAGGTCGCAAACACCAAGGCTGAGAGACAACTGATTCACACAAACTCTGTCATTGCCGAGATTCTTTTAAAATCAATTTTACTTCTTGAATTGTCTGAGAAGTTGTGTGGGCAGACTGAAAATTGCCCAGGGATCTACTTCTAGATCCTGATCCACCTTCAGCCCATCTTTTTCCTATGCCATGAAAGCTAATGTTATAATAAAATGGTTGGCCTTCCCCCACTTGTCCTTCCAAATACACTGGATCTGGAAGTCCCAGAATTCCCCAGCACGTTGGCTGAGAATTCTGGGAGCTGCAGGCCCTGGAGATGCCAGACTGCAGAAAGCTACCTCATTGGGTGATTCTTTATTCCTTCTACCTTAAAAAAAAATATCACCCCTTGCTGCTACCTTCAGAAGTTGCTAAGCGGTTTACTTTGCCCCAGCTCCATCACACTAGAAAAGGACACAACTTGCAGTTTAAATAATTTTTTTCTTTTTTTCTTCCAGAAAAAGGGTTCTTTACTTACCCAGAGACGTTCCCTTCCCACGGCCATCTTGCAGGATCTCCTTGTAAAGAGCTCTCAGGGCTGGATCCGGCGAGGCCAATTCTCCCTCAGGGAAATGCACAGCCAGCTCGAAGTCCACCGATCCCTGAACCCAGAAGAAGCTCAAATTGTGATTTGGCCATAAAACACCGAAACCCACACGGGGTGCAAGCTGACCTCAAGAAACTCAGCTTGTTGATCTTCCCCTTCGCTTTTGCTGCTTCGGCTGGCAATCCACGGGCCAGGAAGCTTCCCAGCCGAAAAACGGCACAAAAGACCAGAGCGCAAAGTATGTTCTTCCTGAAGAATCCTAGAGTTCAAAAGGACCCCAAAGACCATCTAGTCCAACCCCTGCTCAATGCAGCATCTTCTAAGCATTTTGGACCAACAGGTATCCAACCTCGGTTGAAAACACTCTGGAAATTAATTGGGCCTTTTTTCATCCTTCCTTGTAAATCAGACTTCCTCAACCTTGGCAACTTGAAGACGTGTGGACTTCAACTCCCAGAATCCCCCAGCCAGCCTCGCTGGCTAGGGGATTCTG